TTCTCCTCTCTAAAAATAAAGAAATAAAATCTTTTTTTCTTTAATGGAAGGAACCCGGTTCTGGAATTTTCCATAAGAAAAGCCACCAGACCATAAATACCCACAGTGGTGAAACACAGCAAAATAGAAACTACTGTTTCAAGCTACTGAGATGTGGGGATTGCTTGTTATAAAAGCTAGGGTTGCTTGCCTTATGCATGATACCATGAAAGCATTATTATCCCCAGTCTACAGATGAGGAAATGGAAATTCGTAAGGATTAAGTCAATGGTTCCCAACTGGCAGTGATTTTGACCCCAGGGGACATTTCGAAATGTCTTGGAGACGTTTTTATTGTCACAGCTCGGGAAGGGGATTGTACGGGCTGCTGGGCCCTAACGCGGAGAGGCCAGGGGCGCTGCCACACTCCGCGCAGGCCCCGGGCAAAGCGCCATCTGACCCAGGGAGCCAGCCTCGCTGAGGATGAGAACGCCGACCCGGGGTCAGGGAGCTGCCTGAGGTCAGCAAACTAGAGCTGGCAGGTGGCCTGTCATCTCAGCCCTTCCTCAGTGTCAGGTTGTCTCTACCGGGGCCCTTTGGGTGAGCTGCCATGACACTGTGTGTGCCCAGTGTCCCCACGTCACTGCTTCACCCAGGTCTGACCGGAAGTTCACTCCTGGAATGATGAGCACCCTCTACACAAATCTTAGTGAGTTTCATGGACGGCGACACTGGCGTTTCTACTGGATCGGCGGGGACCGGGACACTGACCCCACGCAGGGCAACGAGTTTGCGGTCTCAACCCGACGCCCCGCCCGGGAACCTTTAGAGGGAAGGCGTTTGTCTTTCACTGCTAGGGTCCTTGCAGCCTTCTACGTTATCCAAAAAATCCACTCCTCCACTTTCAAAAGTAGTATACTTATTTTTTTTAAAACGTTAATAAAAAGTAAATTAAAAATTTCCTGTGTTCCATCTGCCTGAGGAACCCATGATAAGTAATTTCGTTTATATTCTTCCATATTTATTTCTGCGTTATGCTAACATGATCGTTAATTTTGTGTGTCAACTGGGTGGGCCACGGGGTGCCCAGATTAAACATTATTCCTGGTGTATCTGCAACGGTGTTTTCCTACAAGGCGAGCGTTTGAGTCCGTGGACCCAGTAAACTGCCCTTTGCACGTGAATGGGCGTCATCCAACCTCCTGAGCGCCGGAGTAGAACAAGAGTCGGAGAAAGGCGGCATTCGCCCCGGCCACACTGCTGAGCTGGGAATTCCTTCTCCTGTCCCCCTGCCCCCGGACTGGGATCGACACCGTGCCCCTGGGGTCTCAGGCTCTCAGACTCACTCAGACCGAATTGCACCACAGGCTTTGCTGGGTCTGCAGCCTACAGACAGAGGGTCCTGGGGCTTCTCCGCCTCCACGATCACCTGAGCCAATCCTTGCAATAAACTACACATATAGGAGACATCGATCACCTACCCATCATCTGTCTAAGGATATCTACTACTGGTTCTATTTCCCTGGACTCCCTAACACAGCTAGTATATCTACATTTTCACTATGATAAGATATACAGGGGCGAGCAAGAGTAGGTTTGCAGTGGTGAGTATGTGAAACAGTTTATCCTTGTATTATTTATTAATTATTGTACTATTTTCCATATGAACTGTAAACCTGCTTTTGCCCCACCCTCTATATACACACACCCGTGCACACACAAACACATACAATTGGAGACTGCTAAAGAACAATGGGTGTTCCCCTCTCGCTCCTGAGAACACTTGGAGAATACATTTCCCATCCTGCCTTGCAGTCAGATGTGGTCACATGACTAAGTCTAGCCAATGGAACATGAGTTAAAGTGCCTCCCGCATCTTCTAGGCCTGGCGATGAAAACCTCACGTAAGTGCTGCCCCAAGTTCTTTTCTCTTTCTAGCTGCTTGGGGGGAGGGGGGAACCACACGTCAGAGATGACAGAGCTTTTTCCAGCCCGAGCAAGAGAGTCGCCCCAAGGCCCCAAGTCTGCTCAAGACTGTTGTGTGAACAAGAAACACACTTTTACTGGGCACATTGGGGCCTATTTGTGATACTATTGCAGCAAACAATTGCTCTGTAAGTTGCTTCTTTCACTTAAAAATATATTTCAAACATTTTTCCACATCAGCACATACACTATATTTTTTTATGACATATATTTTCCCCACAATTCAACTTTTCTGAAGTTGGGAGCTATGTAGTATATGGGAGGTACAATTCCCCAAAAGATTTTATTAAAGGAGTGGGGTATCTTGGAATCAAGGAAACATCACAGTCTAAACTTCCTGGAGCCTTAAAATTAATATGCATTTACTATTGCTGTTAAAAATCAGACTAGTACGACAGGGTATTAAAGGAAAAGTCTTTAGTGTAGCAGAAATGTTCAGACAGTGAGGGTGGCCCCTCACTCCAAGGTCCGGTTGAGATAGTTGTGCTAATGAAGGAGCAAAACACCCACAGCTGATGTGCAGGGGCTGAGGAAATCTGAGACCCGCCAATGTGCTTAAGGAGGGAGGGGCATCAGTACAAGAAGTCAAGTCATACCCAGGTTTAACCTTGGGAACCACTCAGGATATATTCAGCCATTGCAACGGTCTTGAAAACACATCGGAGAGCATTTCTCGGAAGGATTTAGGTGGAAAGGCATCAGTCAACCAACTACACATACCATCTCCAGAAAGATTGAGGATCCCTATTTTTAAGGTCATATTCATTCCTATTTAAGAAAAGCTACCAAATTCTTTACCTTCTTATCTCCTGTCAAACTTTCCAAATTCCATAAGCTTCTTTAAGTTACAAAACACATTTGGTATCAAATGAGAAATAGAATCTTGTGTCAGGAGACGTCTCTCTCCTGACAGGCCTTGGAAATACTAAGCACATTTAGAGAGGCTTTGTGCAGGACTGGCTTCATAAAACACTTAACATGAAAAAATAAGTGAGATGCACTGAGGTAAAACCTTAAAATTAATTTTATTTATAGAATGCATTTGCTGTTTTCCTCTCCAAGGCAATGAAGGGCTTTGTGGTCACTATTAAACTCTATTTTGCCTCTTTTGATGGCTTTTGAGGTCCCTACAATCCCTAGATTATTCTCTCTGCAATGCATTCCTTTTGGTAAAAACAGAACTTTTTCTCACAGAAAGAATCAGTGGTTTAAAAATGCCTTTTCTGGGTACAGAATAAAATATTCATCAAATCTCGCCTCTCGATCTCCCAACATCTATTTATGAAAACTTGCCACCAAAAGTCTTATGGTGACAAAGAAATTTCCCAGGTGATAGCAGCAATAACGTTTCACATTATGATTTTTATGTTCCCAGTCCAGTTTTTCAACATTCTGCAAATCTCCCTGTTTGTCTAGAAAACAACCCCTGGAGTTTCTTTCTTTTCAATCACTAGTTATGCCATGAACATGCAATATACAAGAACTACTGAGTCTTGGACTGGAATTCACTGTAGAAAATTGTTTAGGGTGTAGCTTCCAAGGTATTTGATAGAGTCCCAAAAGCTCTTCATCTAATGCCACTTAGACAAATGAAGAAACTGTAGATTCTCTGGAAGGTGGAGTTGTGGTCTGAAAGCCGGTTCAGCCAACATCTTCAAAATAAGAGAGTCTGTTAGCAACTCACTATTAATAGGCAATAGTTAGACCCTTGAATCCTGTGGTTTCTTTGCTGGTGAGTAATGAAACCATTTGGTTTTTCTGTCCAAGTAAATGAGTCTTGTTCAAAGAAACTGGTTTTATTCAAAGCTTTGAGATGGTTGGAAATGTTTTCCTTGGTTGGAGAAAAGAAAAGTCAGCACTGAGAGATTCTGATTTCTTTCTTTACTATAAAAAAGAACACTACTTCCCTCCCAGAGTCCTCTGGGGAACCTGTGTTTACTGCAGCCCAGGTTAGAAATTGTCATTACTTCACCAATGTCTAAACTGCTTTTAAATTTCTTATTTCACCTATTAAACATTTATATATAGTATCTAATTTGCACTAAATGCTGTCCTAAGCATTTTACATACAGGCTCTGCTGACACAAATAATGCCCCTTTTTATTACAAAATCATAAGCATGTAATTCTGTAACATAACAATATCACACTCAAGCACATCGTATGACATTCTAGGTGAAATGTTCAAATTAAAGCTATAAATTATTACACCTGCATTATTACCCTACAAACCACACTCAAGCCGGCACTGCCTCTGCTGGACCCTGTATATTAACTCCATTAATCCTCATGGTTCTCATATAAGATTTTCCCGATAATTTATTCTTTTCCCCCAAACTTAAGATAGCAATGAGCTATGGGCATGGGTAGGACTATTTCCATTTAAGTCTTTTTCTCCTTAAGGATTATCCCAAGAAGATAGAAATAAAGAAAAACAGAGTCAACTTTTAAAATATGATTTTGGGATCAATATCAGTAGAGAAGTGACCCCAAAAAAGTATCCCCAGAAGTAAATATTTAACTCTGTTAGACCTTATAGCTTGGGAAATTTGTATAAAAACAGGCTGACTTCTAGCCATAGAAGCTAACCAGGTTGTAGTTATTGTATCAAAAATTAGAAACTTTTGTCACTAATATACCATAAAATACAATTCTACAGATCAGATACTAGGCTTAATAAGGTGCAGGTAATAATAGTTACCATAAACTTATTAAACATGTAAGAAACATCACCACAAAACAGAATGCAATCCTGCATAATAAAAAACCAAGGTCTTAGTTTGGTCTATGTGTCTTGAGTTGTATCATAAATGAAACTCAAGGATGGGCCAGATGAATTTTGGAAGTCCCTCCACTGTGACCCAAAATCTTATCACTCATTTTGTGCGTCAGTTAGCCCTCATCTAGCACAGCAGTCCTCAAACTGTGATTCCCAAGATGCTAGACTGACATAAAAATAAAGCCTTCTAACATACATCATTTCAGAAATGCTTCACATTGCCTGGCCTTCCTGGAGATGGTGGGTGTGCCCAAGACTCGAAAAAGTGCCTCCAAATTTGACTTGTTTGACCCAGTCTTAGTGTCCTGAGAACATAGCCGAACCACTGGCTTCTCTAGTGAACTCTGGATGATTTGCTTCAATGTAAGTGGACAAGTGGGTTGCAGAGAATGGAGTTAGAACCTGCACCTGGGGGGAGGCCCCGGGGCTGTTTCTTGGGCACTAGGGTTCCCTTCTGGTTCTTAGGTACAAGGGTTGAGTTAATCATACTTATCAATTCATGACCTGTGACATCATGACTTACAATAAAGAAGAAATATATTTGGCTTTCGTTCCCTTTCTTAGCACAGACCTCCTAAAACCCTTGAAATTTCCTAAGTGATGAGAGTGGTTAAGATACCAAGATGCCCACTCTTGCCACATTTATTCAACATAGTATTAGAAGTCCTAGCCAGACCAATTAGTAAAGAAAAAGAAATAAAAGGCATCCAACTTGGAAAGGAAGAAGTAAAACTGTCACTTTTTGTAGGTGACATGATCTTATATACAAAAAAACCCAAAGACTACACCAAAAAGTTGTTAGAACTGACAAACAAATTCAGTAAAATTGCAGGATATAAAATCAATATACAAAAATGTGTTGTGTTTCTATACATTAATAATAAACTAACAGAAAGATAAAATAATTTCATTTCTATTTGCATCAAAAGAATAAGATACCAAAGAGTAAATCTGACCAAGAAGATGAAAGACCTATGGACTGAAAATGATAATGCATTGATGAAAGCAAGTGGAGAAGACACAAAGAAGAAGAAGGACCTGGCTGCGTGACTCAGTGGACTGAGTGCTGGCCTGCGAACCAAAGGGTCACCGGTTCAATTCCCAGTCAGGTCACATGCCTGGGTTGTGGGCCAGGTCCCCAGTAGAGGGTTTGCAAGAGGCAACCACACATTAATGTTTCTCTCTCTTTCTCCCTCCCTTCTTGTCTCTCTAAAAATAAATAAATAAAATCCTTTTAAAAAAAGTGGAAGGGTATACTGTGCTCCTGAACTGGAAGAATTAATATTATTGAAATGTCTATTTTACCCAAAGCAATCTACAGATTCAATTCAATTCCTCTCGAAATTCCAATGACATCTTCCACGGAGACAGAACAACCTTAAAATTTGCGTGGAATGACAAAATACCCAAAATTGCCCAAATAATCTGGAAAAAGAACAAGTCTGGAGGCAGTAGACATCCTGATTTCAAACTATATTACAAAGCTATAATAATCAAAACAGTTTGGTAATGACATAAAAATAGACACATAGGTCAATGGAACAGAATACCAAGCCCAATAGTAAACCCAAGCATATAAAATCAATTAATTTATAACAAAGAAGCCAAGAATATACAATGGGGAAAGAACATCTTTTTCAACAAATGATTTTAGAACTAACAGATATCCATATGGAGGGAAAATGACCTCAACTCTTACAACACCCCATACAAAAAAATTAACCTGAAATGGACCATAGACCTAAATGTAAAAATAAACAGTGAAGTGTTTAAAGACAACCAACCATAAGAGAAAAATCTCAATCTTGGAATAGAAAAAAATTCTTGGATAGGAGTCTAAAAACACCAACCATAAAAGAAAATAATTAAAAATTGGACTTGATCACCTTTAAAACTTCTGCTCCTCAAAAGACTCTATTCAGAAAATTAAAAGACAGAGTCCTGGGACTTCCCACCAAGATGAAGGTGTAGGTAGATACACTCTGCCTCCTCACACAACCAAAAGAAGGATGACAACAAGTTTAAAAACAAAAACCAACCAGAATTGCTAGAATATTGAGCTGTATGAAGTCTGACGACAGAGGAGTTAAAGAAGAAACATTCATCCAAACCTGTAGGAGGGGTGGAGATGGGCAGCCAGCTGGGGAGGAGTCGTGGCATGGAGGCAGCTGGTGGACCAGGCAAGGCGGTGGCTTGCAGACTGGGCGATCCCACAGTCATGCGCAGATAAACCAGGAGGAACAACTGGGGAACCCACAGTCATGCGCAGATAAACCAGGAGGAACAACTGGGGAACAACTGGGGAACCCACAGTCATGCGCAGATAAGCCAGGAGGAGCAACTGGGGAACCCACAGTCATGCGCAGATAAGCCAGGAGGAACAACTGGGGAACAACTGGGGACCACACAACCCAGGGTTCCAGCGTGAGGTAATAAAGCCTCAAAAACCTCTGACTGAAAACATCTGTGGGGTTTGAGGCATCAGTGAAAGAAACTCCCAGCCTCACCAGAGAGCTCCTCAGAGAGACCCATGGGGTCCTAGAATGTACACAAAACCACCCACCTGGGAATCAGCACCAGAAGGGCCCAATTTGCTTGTGGGGAGCAGGGGAAGTGACTAAAAACTGACAGAGAGCGGAGCATGTGGCCTTGTTCCCTCTTGGACCCCTCCCCCACATACAGCATCACAAAGAAGCCACATGGGTTGCCCCGCCCTTGTGAACACCTAAGGCTCCACTCTTTACTATGTAACAGGTGCACCAAGACAAAAAAATGGCCCAAATGGAAGAACAGAGCAAAGCTCCAGAAAAAATAAAACTAAGCAATGAAGAGATAGCCAACCTATCAGATGCAGAGTTCAAAACACTGGTCATCAGAGTGCTCACAGAACTGGTTGAATATGGTTGCAAATTAGAGGAAAAAATAAAGGCTATGAAAAGTGAAATAAAGGAAAATGTAAAGAGAGCCAACAGTGGTGGGAAGGAAACTGGGACTCAAATCAATGGTTTGAGCAGAAGGAAGAAATACACACTCGACCAAAACAGAATGAAGAAACAAGAATTCAGAAAAATGAGGGGAGGCTTAGGAACCTCTGGGACATCTTTAAACATTCCAATATCCAAATCGTAGGGGTGCCAGAAGAAGAAGAGGAAGAGCAAGAAACTGAAAACGTATTTGAAAACATGATGAATGAGAACTTCCCCAATCTGGCAAAGGAAACAGACTTTCAGGAAGTCCAGGAAGCTCAGAGAGTCCCCAAGAAATTGGATCCAAGGAAGCACACACCAAGGCACATCATAATTACATTAGCCAAGATTAAAGATAAGGAGAGAATCTTAAAAACAGCAAGAGGAAAGAAGACAGTTACCTACGGAGGAGTTCCCATAAGACTATCAGCTGATTTCTCAAAAGAAACCTTGCAGGCAAGAAGGGGCTTTCCTTACAGGAAAGAAATATTCACAGTCATGAAGGGCAAAGACCTACAGCCAAGATGACTCTATCCAGCAAAGTTTTCATTTAGAATGGGCAGATAAACTGCTTCCCAGATAAGGTCAAGTTAAGGGAGTTAATTCATCATCACCAAGCCCTTATTATATTAAATGTTAAAAGGACTTGTCTAAGAAAAAGATGATCAAAAATATAAACAGTAAAATGACAACAAACTTACAACTATCAACAACCAAACCTAAAAAGAAAACAAAAACAAACTCAGCAAACAATAGAACAAAAACAGAATCACAGAAATGGAGATCACATGGAGGGTTATCAGAAGGGGAGGGGAGTGGGAGAATGGGGGGAAAAGATACAGGGAATAAGTAGCATAAATGGTAGATAGAATATAAACAGGGGTAGGTTAAGAACAGTATAGGAAATGTAGAAGCCAAAGAATTTATATGTACAACCCATGGACATGAACTAAGGTGGGGGAATGTGGGTGGGAGGGGGTGTACAGGGTGGAGGGGAACAAAGGGGGGGAATGGGATAACTGTATTAGCATAATTAATAATATATATATTTTAAAAAGATTAAAAGATGAGCTCTGTCTTGAATGTGCTGTTCCCATTCAATGGTAAAAGATTGATGGTATATGTCAGTTTCTTAGCCTATTTTTCTCTGACTTTGTTCAATTTCAACCTTACTGAAGATTGACCCCTCTCTCTTTACAAAGGGACAGTGGCCTTCAGCAGTGACCGGATTCCTGCCCAATCCCCAGACTGGATTGTACCCAGCGGGGTAATGAAGCCAGGAGAGGATGACCCCTGAACTCGCTTGGCTTGTCTCGGAAATCAGAGAAATGGAGCCCTTGATCTCAGTGTGGGTCTGGGGGTATGTGTGTGTTCACTTTTGTATCTCTTTTTGTTCTTATTTTATAAAAAGTAGTGTATGTTCATTACTTAACAATCAGTGAAAGCAAATTAATTATCCAGAGCTTATTGATTGCAAGTGACAGAAACTTAGTTAAAAAAAAACGTCATCGAAAGATTTGGGGGCCATCTCACCTGCTCCTCCTGAAGCATGATGCCTTTAAGAGCACCTGCATTCAAGGCTCAGGGGACATGTCCAGGTTCCATCACTGTCCACAACCAGTTCTACATCCCTCTAGGTTGTGGGTGAGCTACCTTTTTACCTACTTCCCACTGCTTCCTCCAGGCAACCAGGAAGGGCAGTCACCCGAGAGTCACACCTTCCCATTTAGCAACTCAAGAGTGAAAAGGAAAAACCCTTTCCGGAAGTTTGCCTGTCGGGCCAAGAAAATTAACCATCGATCCTGCCAGAGTCCAATGCCCTGATTCCTCTCTGCTGTCAGGGGTATGAAAAATGCCAGTTACAGAGCAGGGCCATGTCCTGTGAGCTGACCGAATAGAATTTGCAGGCCCATGGCCTCTCCCTCCCAGAGAGTATTGTGTTGCATTGCCATCACCTACACCAGCTTAACATATCTTCACATTGTCTTCCGTTCATTTATCCAACGAGCAGCCCGCCCCATGCCCTGCCCTGCACTAGGTGCTGAGGATGTCAGGTTAGACGCAGCCCCTACCTGAGCGACTGAGCAAGGGGACCCTCCTACAGTTAAAGGGAATTCTACCCTTAGGGGCACTTCCATGGGGCCACCCAGAGCGCCAATGCGGAGGGTAGTCCTAGAGAAAGAAATACTCACTTGCACAAACACCTCTAAGAATTTCAAAGTATGCTCACTGTTCCCTCTGCTCACAACTGTAAGGATGCTCCTACGGTCCCTGGAGCCCGAATTAACTGGTCTCCCTGCCCCCACATAATCATGTAAATTTGGATATTTAGTTAATTACTTTATAAAGTATTCCTGCTCTGGTTACCCAAGTTACTCCCAAGGTCGTTTGAAAAACTAATCATAGCAAAAGTTGCCTGTTAATGAATGTGAACATGTGGAGAGGAACTGCCATCATACAGAAGAGGAATCGGGGACACTCCATTCATCCCAAATAATGTCTATTGTACATAGTAGACTTGTCTTTCTGAGCCCAGTTCTCCCATTAGTAAATGCTGCCCCTCCATAGTTATTAAGATGTCGAAAAGCTGTATCTGAACTGCAGCTCCGAGGTGCGAGGTAGTCGTCCGGCGTGCTGCATGGTTCTGGTTTGTGTCTGCTGTTGCGTGGATGACGTTGTGTGGGCGGCGATGCAGAGGAAATCTTGGTGCCAATTATGCTGTGTAGGCAACTCGGCCTTTCCCCTGTCCGTTCAATTAAGCATGAAAATCTTGCAGCTAGTCTGGAACCAACATTTTCCCAAAGTGATCCTCAACACAGGTACACAAAAGATACAAACACACAGATGTAAACATACGTACATTATGTACAGTTTACGTGACAGAAGGATTAAGGACCATTATTCTACTTTGGCAAAAGGAAAACTCATCGCAGAAGTCTTTAAAATAACATTAAGGAGTGCATTGATTTTGTACTAAAAATTAGAATGAAAATGACAAAAATTCTCTTTCCATGCAATGTCTGAGGAATACATCTGTGTGCAAAGACCCACTCACTGGTAAATATTTGACAACCACGTATATATAATGCATGTACATGCATATATTCTAGGAACAGTCCGTTCAGAGGCTCTTTTCCAATTCCGTGATGAGTCCATGCATTTGCTGATCAGCCGCCAGTCTTGGTCCAAATTAACATTTGGTCGGTGGCAGTTGTAGGGGAAAACGTAGCAGAGCAGATTGGAAATTTACAAACCTTCTGGAAAAGCTATTTGCTAAGCCTGTGTCAATCTGCCTGAATTGGCTGCGAGGCAACTCAGAACCGAGGCTCTCGGGGTGCAGATGGCACTCCTGACGCGGGGCCAAGGCTTGGCTGAGTCCCCCACATCGCAGAGCCCTTCAGCCAGCGGAGCTGGGCGCCTCTTGTAAGGCGCCTGCGCCCCACTCCAGTCGCCACATCTGCCAGGCAGAGCTGCACCGGGCGCGGGCATGATGGCTGGGAGCATCGCGCTTGGTGGGCCCCTACATTTGCCACAGCTCCCCACGCGAGGGCTTGGGGACAGCATGCCTTCCTAGCCGCATCTCTCATACTTAGAAAACTCCAAGCTACTGCTCAAAATAAATAGCCGCCTCCCGCAACGCAAGCCCTTCCCCGCCCCCACTCAGACTGGCATTGCCTGTTCAATGAAGCGCCAGGGCCAGGGCTCGTCTGGGTCCTTTTGACTCCAGGAGCCTGCGCAGCGCTCCGCCCACTGTGAGCCCCTCTGGCTCCCACGCAGCTCAGGCTGCAGGAGCGCCAGGCCCTTGATTTATTCATCCATCGTGGAGTCATTTAAATATTTATAGAGCACCTACTACTTGCCAGGAGCCGGGGAAGTGATTGTGAGCGAGACCCACGTGGTAAACAAGAAACAAGTCGTACACCTAGGCCTTGCGTTATTTCCTCTTTCTTAACTTTATTCCCACCTCCCTCCACCCCTCCCCTTCGGCAACCCGTCAGCCTGTTCTATCCATGGGTCGGCTCCTGTTTTTTTGTTACCTATTCATGGTTTTTTTTTTTTAGATTGTTCTTATGAGTGAACTCATAGGGTATTTGTCTTTCTCTGATTTATTTCTCTTAGCATATGCTTTCAAGGTTCATTTATATTGTTGCAAGTGGCAAGATTTTATTCTTTTTTACTGTTGCTCAATATTCCATTGTGTGTGCATATATATGTGTGTATATGTATATGTATGTATGTATATCACATCTATATACGGTCTGTCTAGAAAGTATCCATCCATGTATTATAAAAAAATAGAGACATTTATTGAAGAAGATACAAGACACATGAAACACAGTACATAGGACAATGATGCCTCAGTCCCCTTCAAAGTAGATACGTTGGGACCTCACACATTTCTCCCAATTGCCACCAACTGTCGTATTTTCCTGAATCTCATCGATGGTCTGAAATCTCTTCCCTCTCAAAGGTGATTTTAGTTTTCGGAAAAACCGGAGTCACAGTGCACCAAATCTGGGCTGTAGGGGGACTGAGTTACCTGGGTGATTTGATGTTTTGCCAAAAAACTCTGCACCAGACGTGACACATGAGCGGGCAGGTTGTGATGGAGCTGCCAATCACCAGTTGCCCACAGCTGCAGCCTCCTGAATTATCTGAATCGTTTCCATGGAGGAAATGTTCACGCTTAAAGCAAAATTTGATGTAGATCCTACTCACTCAGTCACTTTGAATGTGACGGACACACAGTACACATGCTCACTCAGTGGCACATACAGCCCCCACTGACGGGTACAGGGAAGTCGCCATTGTTTGCGCATGTGCGTTCCAGCCCACTCTCCAGGTTGCATCAATGTCGCGCACACTGTTCTCATTATATTAACAATGGTTGGACATTTTCCAGACAGACTTCATCATACACATCCCATCTTCTTTATCCATTTATTAATTGACGACCACCTAGGTTTCTTCCATATCTTGGCTATTACTAGTAATGCTGTGATGAACATAGGGGTGCATGTGTCTTTTTGAATTAACGTTTTGGTTTTCTTTGTGTCAATACCCCGAAGTGGGACTGGCGGATCTAAGACTCCGCACTCAGGAAAATCAGTAACCAGGCACACCATGGTAAGAGAGAGAAGTCAAAATGTCACAGGGCACACAGAAAGACTCCTAAGCAGACTTGTGAGTCAGAGCCTTGTGAGTGAAAGGTGGCTAGGCCTTCGGCAGGTCCCCGTGGGTGGGGAGGGCGGGTGCGGCAGGCTGCGACCCATGCAGAGGCCCAGGGGCCCTGCAAAACACAACTGGAGAATGAGGACAAGCTCCGGGGGTTGGGGGGAGGTAGGACTGTAGTCATTTGTGCCTTTTTAAAATTTTGCTTTGTATGTGCTTTTATATCTGTGTTCTGTCTCATAGATTATTTTTTATCTTTTACAAATATTTCATTGTTTCTGCTATTACAGTTGTCCCAGTTTTCCCCCTTTGCCCCCCTCCACCCAGCCCGCCCCTCACTTCCATATTCGACCTCCACATCTTTGTCCCTGCCCACGGGTCCTTCACGTACATTCTTTGACTAATCCTTTCACCATTTTTCAACTAGTTCCCCCTCCCCACTCCCCCCTTACAGCTAGCTGTCAGTCTGTTCCATGCTTCTATGTCTCTGGTTCTATTTTGCTCATTATTTTGTTCATTAGATTCCTCTTACAAGTGAGATCATATGGCATTTGTCTTTCACCAACTGGCTTATTTCCCTTAGTATAATGCTCTCCAGTTCCATCCATGCTGTCGAAAAAGGTAGGAATATATTATCCCCGATTCTTAACACAGAGCTTGGTCTCCAGTGTTGCCAAACAGATTACCACTATGTGCAAAACTTGTTAAGGCAGAGCGATCTTTCTGAGCTCCCCGGTGCTGCCTGCGCGGCTTCCTGTCCATAACAGACTCCGCAGGGGCCCCGGCTGCACCGGCCGGCTTAGCACTTGGAGCGATGCCAGCAATGCCAGTGATGCCAGAAGGTGCCCACGTGCCCCTTTCTAGAATAACGACATCTGTGAAATAAGTGACGTCCCGGCTCCCCGGTTGTTTTGAGGGGTAACAGTGATTCACATTCCAGTGGGCTAGAGAAGGGAGGCGTGGGGAAGGAGCAGATGCACAGACATCTTAATGTTCTTTGACGGACATGTCTCAGGCCTCGGCTCCCTGGGCCTCTGGGTGGGATGCAACGCCCTAACGCTCCGTCAGTCTCAAAGTGCCCTTCCGTCTGGGTTTCTGAAACACAGCTCTGTGCTCCCCTCCTGTCCCATCTCAGGTCTTTGCAGGGTCTGCCTTTGCATCACTCAGCCTTTCCCAGTGCAGCGGGAGGGCTCCAGGCCCCTCCCCAGGCCCCTCCCCAGACCCTCCCCATCTCACTCAGTGAATTCTTCTTCCTTGGGGATTCCTTCTGTCCTAAAACCAGCACCCGACTGGTTACTACCGAATGTCCAGCTCTGGCTAAAATGGGCTCTGGCAGTTGTCATTTTTTGGCTACTTAGCATCCAAACCTCTTCTCTAGTCACGGAGAATTCCCCTCCTTAGAAGTCTTCGCAGGAAGCAGGGAAGCACTCACCACAGGAGTGGGAACCATGCATGTAGCTTCCCCAGCTCACCGAGCAGCCAGCACGAGGACAAGGGACCCAGGGTCAGCCACTCGGGAGTTCGTTCAGGGACTTGGAGGAAATCTCTCCAGGTGCCAGAGGTGAGAAGGGGCAGCTGTGGCAGCAGCCTCGGGGGCCAGGGCCGGCCTATCAGCGAGACAAAGCAACGCCCTGGGCTCAGCAGCAGCTGCCCTCACCCGCAGGCTGGGGAGGCACTGGCCCAGGTCTTGGACGCAGGGTCTCCATTTGATTCTTGCTGCCCAATTTATAAAACCCGGCCTTTGAGTGCCTCTGTGAGCGCCCCAATATATGGTCACTAAATCCCATTTCAGCCTCAGTGAGCCGGAACAGGTTTCTGTTCTGATGCGCGTGTGTCCCCCTGGCTTAACTCAGAGGAACTGTCCCAGCCGGCTGGGTTCCCACCTCCCGCCCCGAGGCGTGGTCAGCGGCCAAGGCTTTCTGGTGGCTCCGAGGTGTCGTCCCCAGACACCTGGAAGCTGCCGAGGGGCTTTCAGGAGGTCTGTAAGGTCAAAATTATTCTCATAATAAAATTACTGGAACATTATTTGTCTTTTTCGCAGCATTGGCATTTTCACGGACGATACAAAAGCCACGGCGAGGGGACAGCTGGTGACGGAGCAGGCATGGAGGCTGGGGCACCCAGCGGTGACAGGAGGACTGCGTCCCCCACCGCCACACCCTCGCAGGAACACACAGCCAGTTCCACGTGACAGTATCCTTTCTGAAAGAGTAAGAATTACTGACTTCATCAAACCTCGACCCTTCCATGCACTTTCTTTTAAAATTCTATTCTATTTTCAGGGGGAGGTATCCCAAGAGCACATTCTCTAGATAAAAACTATATTTGTAGCCAGTGACAAATGACAACCTTGGAAAATTTATGTCCTCCACCTTGAATTTGAGAGCTTCCTGGTACTTAGGACTTTTCTAATGAATTTGGTTGTCACGTTAATGGATATGATTTTTTGGATACTGTAAAATGAAATGTGCTAATGAGTGGAAAACTGCATAATTCAGTGAACAAATATTTTCCAAATGGCTAATGCATGATGTTTTAATATTACAAATGAGCAGAAGGTCTATTCGAAGTGGCAAATAAAGAGCACTTGCTTTTAATGTAACTGGGTAGATACAAAAGTTCACCGATTTAAATTCAGATTCCACACGGCAAAGACTCTCTCACATAGCACCTCTCAGCTGGCGTCAGTATTGGATCAAAGAAGAATACCCTAATTATCTCCTCCTTTTTCTGAGCAAAGGTGATTCTCCTTCACATATTTCAACCAAAACATATCACAATAGATTGAGTGCAGAAGAGATGTCCCATCATCTTTTATCAAGTTAGACATCAAAGAGATTTGCGAAAATGTAAAAGTATGGCTGTTCTTCCTAGGGACTTTTAGTTTAGGGAAAGTGAACTTTTTAATTAAAATGTTATTTACCTTGACATGTAATGGACTTACTATTGTTACTTTAAACAAATACATAAATAACTTTTTACATTTCTAAGTTTTATTTTTTATCCTCACCCAAGGACATGCTTATTAATTTTATTTTAAAGATTTGATTTACTTTTAGAGAGAGAGGAAGGGAGGGAGGAAGAGAGAGAGAGAAACATGATGTGCAAAAGGTACATGGATTGGTTGCTTCTCACACACCTCTACTGGGGACCTGGCCCGCAGCCCAGGCATGCGCCCTGACTGGGAATCGAACCAGTGACCTTTCAGTTTGTGGGATGATGCTCCAACCAACTTAGCCACACCAGCCAGAGCCTCAGCTTTAATTTCTGACTCAGTAAATAGCTCTAGATTGGGGTTGCCAGGATTAGCAAATAGAATTACAAATATTGCATGGGACATACTTATACTAAAAAATTATTTATCTGAAATTTAAATGTAACTAGGTGTTCTGTATTTTACCTTGTAACCCTGATATACATATAATTCATAAAGAAAAGCTCTTTTGGATTCTTAATACTTCTTACGAGTGTAAAGGGGTCTGGAGACAAAAGGTTTGAGGACCGCTGTCCAAGCATTGGGATTCTGCCCAGCCCCCCCACCCACTGTTCACAGGGTTTACAAGATTCCTTTACTGTGGATTATTGGTGGTCCCCTGAAGTGGCGGGGGGCTCACACTCCAGACAGCTCTGTGTTTTCACTCCCTGGTTCTTATAAACCAAGCTTCCTCCCTTTGACAAAGACCCTTGGTCCCTCCACTGCTTTCTCTCTCTTCCAAATGGACTTCTCACCGTCTGCTCACTCTTCCCCCTACACTGGTCTTACTGAGTCTTTGAGAGCAGAGGACCTCATTCTGCAAGCACCAGGCTTGTTTCCTGGCCCGTAGCCCTACTGCATCTGTGCATCTTAGCTTCTCCTTGAGATGGGCTGGAGGAAGAGAAGCTGCCCTCTAGGGAACCCAGAGCAGAGGGGTGGGGAGATGCACAGAAAATAGATCAATATTTTACATAATCCTCAGCTATACTTGCAATGGACATTCCTCTGAGCCTCTGAGACCCTGACCCCTACATCCAGCTGCCTACTCCATACACAGCTCCTCTACCTTGAACATTCCCCTCACTCAATGCTTGACTATCTCTTAACTCAAGTCCCACTGAGCTTAAATGACACTTTCTCAAAGAGGCTTTGTCTTATATCTCTACGCAAAAGAAGTCATCGACCCACATAACACACAACTTTTCCCTTCAGAGCATTTATCATCATTTTGATGTTATATGTGCCTGTGCTTGCTTCTCCCTCATGTGTCTCTCTCACTAGACTGCAACCAGCTAAAGGGCAGGAACCACGTCTGTTCTGCTCAGGACCATCCAACCCACAACCAGGTACTCAATATTAATTTACTAAATAAGTTAACATGGACAGAAATACACGTATTACTGTGTTTAGACTGTTTATGCTAATATAACCATGTAAAGCTATAAATTTTCCTCTAAAAACTGCTTTAGCTGCACCCCACAAATCCTGATATGTGGTTTTCATTATCATTTCACCCTAAATATTATCTAACTTTGCCCTGGCTGTTGTAGCTTAGTGGATTGAGCACCAGCTGCAAACTGGAAGGTAGCCAGTTCAATTCCCAGTCAGAGCACATGCCTGGGTGGCAGGCCAGGTCCTCAGTTGGGTGCATGTGAGAGGCAACTGATCAATGTATCTCTCACACATCAATGTTTTTCCCCCTCTCTTTCTCCCTCCCTTCCCCCTCTCTAAAAATAAATAAATAAATTATTTAAAAAATTATTTTCTAACCCCACTCTTAATTTCTGCAGTAAGACATAGTTTTTTTTTGAAACATGTGGTTTAATTTTAAATATTTTGAGTTGTCCGAGGTATTGCATTTTTGCTGATTTCTAGTATAATTACAGGTGGTCAAAGAACATACTCTATATGATTTCAATACTGTGACACTCACTGAGACTTGTTCTATGGCCTAGCATCTGATCTGTCTTGGTGAACGTACCACGCACATTTGAAAAGAATGTGCGGTCTGCAATGGGAAGGCAGTGTTCTACAACACCAGTTAGGTGAAGGTGATTGAAAGCGTTCTTCAGATATGTCTTCGCTGATTTCTTTGTCTGTCGTTCTACCAGTTGTTTAGAGAGGGGTTTATGCTTCATGTATTCAGAAGCTCTGTTGTCAGCTATATAAACACTTATGATTGTGAAGTCTTCCTGGTGAGTTGATCTTATCATTACAAAATATCCCTCCTTTATCTCTGATAATACTTTTTGTCTTCATGTCTGTTTTACTTGATATTTTCCTCTCTCTTAAAAGTAAAGTATAATAGCACCATTAGAACTCTAACTTTTTAACATTTCTTTGCATGTCGATCTCTCTCTTGTTCTCCAGTCTCAGTGCTAAGCTGAAACAAATTAGAAAGGTGGCATGAACCAAAATGATTCTTTCTTCTAGAAAGGAGAGGCGTGACTGAGAGGCTGGCCAGCCCCTCACCTGACCCCTGACCCCTGACCCCTGACCCCTGATGCAAACTCACTCCCCAGAGACGAGCTGTGTGCTTCTCTCTGCTTCCCACCCTCAGCTCTGAGAGTGTCCCTCTTGAATCACAAAAAGCAGCTTTCCCCATTTCTAACATTTTTATGGCTTTGACTTCATTAAGCGTGAGGCTTTCAATAATGAATGAAAAGAAAATCATTTCATGACTAATAAAGCAGGGTTGACAGACGAACTTTTCTTCTCAAAGATCTAACTGTGAACACAATTGTCACAGCTTTAACAAGCTACTCTGCTCATGTTGATTCAGGGGAGAATTTCATGGCACTCCAAGGAAATCAAGTTCAGGGTCAACTGTGGTTCGTCTTTGTTTGAACTTTTCAGAGCATCTCTGTTCCTGTCGTGGGAAGCAGCTGGCACTATAGGCCTTTAAGGTGTGACACAAATGGGTTCACAGGGGTTCCCCTAAACATTCATGTTAATCAAATGTTTGGGAGGGTTTGCTTTAATTAAATCGCTCTGGTTCCATTGTTGAAGGAAACTATTGCTAGTCTTAGATTGTGTTCCGCCCTCTTGGATGTCTCCATCCTGCATATATAAGGTCATTAGAGTCATTAGAAATAAATCCACACGGCATGGGGACACTGAGGCATGGAGACACCATACCCTGTGATCGCAGGCGCCTCCGTGAATGCTCCGGACCAGCAGGGGCCCAGGCGATGACTTGGGAGGGCCCCAGAACCCACCACAGCAGCGGGGTGCCCACCGCCAGTCACTGCTGTGCGTGAGACGCTCTCTTCAGGAGGCTCGTATGCAACTCGCAAGCTACCTCTGCCCAGGTAACGGGAAGACTTACGGACAGACCAGAACGCACCCGTTCATCCGATCAGCGGCCGGCCCACCAGGCCCCAGTTCCCCCCACACTGCAGAGAGCTCTCGCCGGCCAAGAGCTCTTCTAGAGCTGACTTTCCATATCACCCCCAAACAGATGACGCACAGTCTCCGGCCCTGACCTATTTTTATGAAACCATATCCTATCTCTGGTTCCCAGATGGTTATTCCCACTAGGCTATGATTAGCCTGAAACGCAACTTTCCAAATCAAAATTCATGATCACACTTCCATGTAAGTAGCCCTTTTTCCAACGAGTTATTTCCAGCCCCTCTAGGACTCCTCTCTTCCTCCCCTAGTGAAGAAGTCACAAAGCTCCATTTCTTCCTTCCCAGGTCTAGTGGTCTCAGAAAAACACCAAGACAGGCGGTCTGGGGGATAAAAGGTAAGTAGGTGTGAGGCCGTCCGGTTCAGATCAACATTTGCTGGACACCCGCACACGAGCCCGCTGAGACTGCGGAGACCCCGAAACTCCCACGGCACCTTCCCGTGCAGAAGAAGCCGCCTGCGCTCACGACTCTCCCCTGCGACCCCTGCGACCACCACCTCCGCTGCTCACGGCCTGTGGGTCTCTAACTACAATACAGTCAGGTGCCAGCGTGGCCTGGAGGCCGGAGAGAGGGGGCAGAGGGCATAATTACTGTAGTTCTGTCGTTATCCAAGGAATCCCAGAGAAGGGACTGCGAGCTGCAGATGGCCCTGCAGAGCCTTCGGGGGGACGCGCCCTGCGGCCCAGGCCTGTGGAGCAGAAGGAAAAGCAGAACCGGACAGAGGCTTCCGGGGGCCGCACCGCGAGCTCCCGAGCTGGACGACCACAATGAGCCATTCAAGCTGGGCCGGGGGGCCAGGCCTTCGCAGCCC